AAACAAAGAAAGATACCAAATGTCTCTCAGTCAATAGGAACAATCCTTTTCCACTTGTCCCTTCTAGGTGTTGAGTCTATATAGCTAATTCACATCTCAGGGACTTATTGGGGGTCCTTTGAGTTTCCTGATTGGAGGGGGGGTTATTGGCAACCCCTACCTTCTTGTCTGTCTGAGTTGCCTGCCTTGAGACTCCTGGGCTATCAGACCCTTGCCTCTGTGCAATGATTAGCAAGTTATCCCTTGTGGGTGCAGCCCTTGGGTGTGAGGCTTAAACTCCTAGTTCCAAACCATTACAACATGGGTATCAGATTGCTCTGATTACTTAAAATGGCCTGTTTGTATACGCCAACCACACCAGCCCTTTTTGGAAGACAAGGCTTTCACTCCTGGGTTTAGTTCTGAATGAGTCTTATGCTGATTGAAGCCTTAGTTTAATTAAAACAAGTAAGGCTAATTAAAGAATCCAGTAGGTTCAGAACACTTCAGTAAAACGCCTTTGTAATTATAATTTATGGTTCATTAATGGAAAAGGAAAAAAATATGAAAGGGAACACCAACTCACACAGCATTAGGGCTGGACAAGAAATTAGAGGGTATCTAGCAGAGCCCCCTCCACACCTCCAATTTTAGAGGGTAAGAAACCACAGCTCAGAGAGTGAAGCCACCTACCCGACTTCCAAAGACAAGGGATGAGAGCCGGAACTGGAATCCAGGATTTGTCCAACCCAGCTGGTGAGGAAGCCCTTCCCACCTAGACCCTCTCCAATCTCCCACGAGGGCAAGAGCCATCACGTCACAGAACTGAGAAGTAGAAAAGGACCTCAGAAGCCGTGCAGTCTGGAGCCCGCCTGGACAGCCAAGTGGTCATCCACGCTTGACTTCAGTACTTCCAGAGAGCTTGGGGTCTCCAGCAGCACCTATACAAATGGCCTCCATTGGGTGAGCCCCTAATGACATCTGTTAAGTGAACACTCAAGTGTTGGTATATAACATAATATATGTGTGTATAGGTATTTGTACATACCTACCTACATACATTTGGCCCATACATGTAATTTCATCAGTGTAGAGAACACCCAGGGTAGGAACTCCCTCTAAAGTTGTGGATTATCATCTTACCTATAACTTAGAGAATTGTCCTGGTGACTGAGAAGTGATCACAGTCAGCTTCACACAGTCAAAGCTGTGATTTGAACCAGGGTCTTCTTAACTCCAAAGCCAACCTTCTAACCACTATACCACACCGCCTGCAGACAATTCTGGCTTTAATCCCCAAAAAACAGTCGGAAAGCACAAGACCTGAATTCAAATTCCAGCTCAGCCGATTTCTATTTGTACAATCTTAGGCGTGGGGTGGTCGTGTTCATGATAGGTTACCTCAGTTGGGTGAAACGTAATGAAAATGGGGCCAAGACAGCGGGTTCAGTCCCACTGTTGGTCATTATAGTCATTCCAGGGCCCCAGCCGTCCATCTCATAAATGATCACAGGGAAGAAAAAAGGCAAGAGAGTCCAAATGGCTGTCTCCACACCCTTCCATCCCCACCATTGGCATGACAAGTCAAAGACCATTGCAGGGTAAGAAGCATCATCTTCATCTCTGATGAAACCATCATCTTATCACGGAACTTCATAAAATGCTCTTAAACCAAATGACCCCCAGATGCCATCTCTAGTCTTGGAAAGAAGAGTATCTCATCTGTAATTCAAAATACTTGAGAAGATCGTGGCTTCAGAGATAGGAGGACCTTAGATTCCTACCTCCTCATTTTACAGAGGAGAAACTGAGGTTAAATAATTTTCCCAGAATAAATGTCTGAGTTGGACAATCGAACCTAGGCCTTTCAGACTTCAGATCCAGCCTGATGGTTCATATATTTACTGCCTCTCATCTCAGAGCACCTAACAGCCTTCTTTCTAGCAAACCTCTTTCTCTCTCATTGGAAGTTAATCCTGTCTTCTTGGTTTATTCTCCCAAAAGATGGAAAGTAGATTGGTTTTTAACCCTACATTCCTGTGAGATTTCTTCCAGCTCTATTGGGAAAAGAGATGTGGAGACCCAAACCTCTCACCTTCTCTACATCATGCCTGCCTGGCCCCACTTGTAGGCAGATCACTGAGATGCCTTTGGCAGCTCGGTCTCCTGTTGAGGTCATAGCTTTCTGCACAATCCCAATGGCTTCATTCTAAGGGACCTGAGGCCGCACCACATAACACGTGAAGGATCTTTCTTTTCTCCTGTTCCTCTCAACTAGGTCAGCTGCGGTCAGCAAAAGCCAAACTCAATAGATGGGCCTGCCAACAACACACAACCAGCAACCCATGCACATGGCTCTTTCAGTTACCACCAGGCAAATAGAGGTGAAGACCTATTGTCTGCAAGACCAGAGGGTTTTGTTTTGTCAAGAGAACCTGCCTGTCTCTCGACCTCTGGAACTGAAAGTAAGCCTGTTTAGCTGGATACTGCTGAGAAAGGAGCACATCAGCTCCGTTTCTCTGCAGGAATACAAGATTCAAGAGAACTGAGGGTTTGCGGATGGAGGCTGGGAAGGGAGGGTGGATCTGTTATATCATTGGCAGAAGGAAGCTCTCAGAGAGGACACTTCTACTAATACAGATTGGCAACCTTGAGTCTTACAAGGTTGTCTGGGGGCAAAGGTTAAGTTACTCAGGGTCTCATAGCCAGTAGGAACACAGCTGTTCCTAACTCCAAGGCTGACTCTTCATTTACTCTGACATGTTCCAAGAGAATTATTATTCTTTTCTGATGTTATGGGAAAAAATGCTTAAAAGCTCACAGGTTTAGAGCTGGAACAGATTATCAAATCCATCCCTTCTCTCTCCTTTTCCAGATAAGGAAACTGAGGCATAGAGAGGTTAAATGACCTTGGAGGCCATCTAGTCCAACTTTTTCATTTTAGAGATGAGTAAACCAAGGCACAGGGAGATTTAAATGATTGTAGACTTGAACCTGGGTCCTCCTGATCCCACATCCAGTGATGTTGTCCATGATTCTATGCTGCCTTTCACTTAAACTTGGTCAATTTAGGATTCTAGCATCTCCCACCACAAAATTGTGGGGCATAGTTTATTTTCATTTTTTATCTATTAGTTTCATTTTAAAAAAGAAGCTTCCAGTTTCTAAAAATGTTGGCAAGGAAGTGGACATTCAAGAGTCTGGGTTTTGGCTAAATTTTGTATCTCCCCCACACCTAACACTGGCCTGTTCACACTAGGCTTATTTTTTTTAATGTGTGCTATATTATATTCTAAGTGTAAGCTGCTGTCTTCACCCTTGAAGAGGCCAGAGAAAGTATATATTCAAAAACACAAAACCAAAATCTAAGCAGAAATCCTGCCTTCAAGGGAGGAGGGAGAGAATATTGAGAGATCATTTCACTTTCTACATCTGACATCCACCTTGACTCTGTACTGCTCCCCGCCCCCCACCATTGTATCATAGAGTCAGAGCTGGGAAGAATCTTGGAAGCCATTTCATTCAACTCTGTCATTTTACTGCTGATAAAAGAAAAGCTAGGCGGCTCAGGAGTCAGGGCAACCAGAGTTCAGATTCAGTCTTAAATGCTTCCTAGCTTTGTGACTCTGGGCAATCCCTTCACCTTGTCTTCCTCATTTGTAAAATGGCAGCTGGGTGGCGCAAAGGGCAGAGAAATGAGCCTGGAGTCAGGAAGACCTAAGTTCAAATCTGGCCTCAGACACTTCCTACCTACGTGACGCTGGGCAAGTCACTTAACTCTGTTTACCTCAGTTTCCTCATCTGCAAGATGAATTGGAGAAGGAAATGGCAAACTGCTCTGGTATCTTTGCCAAGAAAACTCCAAATGGGGTCAAGAAGAGTCACACAAGACTGAAAAATGGCTCAAGAACAACAACAAAAAAGCTCTATATAAACACTAGTTGCTGTCATTAAGAAACTAGTTTAGAGAGGCACAGTGACTTATAAGTCTATAAAACGAGGACATTGGCCTCAATGACCTCTAAGGTCTCGTCCACATCTACATCTGTGCTCTTGTGACTCTGTACCTCTTAAGATCAACTCCGGCTCTGTATGTATGATCCCATAGTCATAGCATTATAGATTCAGAGCTAGGAGGGACCTTAGAGGTCACTGAGTCCGGCTCCCTCATTTTACAGATGAGGAAACTGAGGCTCAAAGAGGTGAAGGGATTTGCCACACAATATACCAGTAGGAAATTGGATTTGAATCCATGTCTCCCAACTTCATATCCAGATCCATTTCCACTGGTCCTTTTTTTATTATTTTAATTTCTCTCCTCCTCCTCCTCCTCCTCCTCCTCCTCCTCCTCCTTCTTCTTCTTCTTCTTCTTCTTCTTCTTCTTCTTCTTCTTCTTCTTCTTCTTCTTCTTTTCTTCTTCTTCTTCTTTTTAACAAAAGAGAAAATTAAGAAGAGGCTGAAACTAATTATGGCAAACCAAGACTGAGACGATGACCATATAAACCAGCTTCCCTTTCACCCACCATCCTCCAATCCTGGCTTCCTATGGCATCACCTTCAGAAAACTCAAATGAGGAGGAGGAGGAGATTGAGCATTGGGGATGGCTATTGGGGTCCTACATGCCCCTTTAGGACAGCAAGTAATGGCTTGCTCAGAGATTCTGTAGGCACCATCTCATACATCTAGGCTAGAGAGGTTGTGGAGAGGTCAACTAGTAGAGGGTTTTTTCCCCTAACTAAGGTGCTGATCAGTGCAGAAAGCCCTCAGGAACTGGTTGGTTCTGTAAGTAGCTCCCATATCTTAAATTATGCATCTCATCCACCCTCAGGTTAAAAGAGGCTGCATCCACTGCCACTATTGAGCAATTGGATGGCATCTGCCAAGCAGCAATTTTGCCCTTCTCTGAACTCCTGTAGTACTTACTGTCTGTACCACTCATGTTGGCACTTTGTTATGTACTACCTGGCATCAGTGCTTAAATGTTTCATATTTGCACTCTCTCCATGAGGAAAATATTCACCTTCCCTGTCCAATCTGTCCTCTATCCAACAGCCAAATCGACATTCCTCAGACACAAGTCCAACCTTGTCACTTCCCTTGTGACTCAGGAAACTTCAGCCACCACTAGACCTGGACCCTAAAGAGAGCAAAGAAAGAAGAAAAGGACCCCGATGTACTAAAATATTTAGAGCAGCTCTTTTTTGTAGAAGAAAAAAACTGGAAACTAAAGGGGTACTCATCCATTGGGGAATGGTTAAACAAGTTAGAGAACATGAATAAAATGGAATACTAGTGTGCCAAAAGAAATGACAAAGTGGATGGTTTCCTAGAAACCTGGGAACTGATGTAGGGTGAAGTCAAGACAAGACAACAAGCATTGATTAAATGCCTACCACATGCCAGGCAGAGCACCAGAGTGAGCAGAACGAGGAGAATAATTTACACAATCATAATATTACAAAGAAAAGTTATTTTGAAATACTAGAGAATAAGATTAATGCAAAGACAATCCCTGATTGATGAAGTACGAGAGAGAGAGACAGAGAGAGACAGAGAGACAGAGAGAGAGAGAGAGACAGAGACAGAGAGAGAGAGACAGAGAGAGACAGAGAGCAATTAGGATGCAGGATGAGACCCATTTTCAGACACAGCCAATGAAAATTTGTTTGGTTTGATTGTGCATAGTTGTTACAAAAAGGTTTTTAAATTTTTTTTCTTTTTCCAATGAAAGTGGGTAGGGGTGAGTAGGATGGCAAAAGGGGATAGGGACAGAGGAGAGGAAAGGAGAGGAAGGGAGAAGAGAAGAGAAGAGAAGGGAAGGGAAGGGAAGAGAAGGGAGGAGAAGAGAGGAGAGGAGAGGAGAGGAGAGGAAAGGAGAGGAGAGGAGAGGAGAGGAGAGGAGAGGGGGGAGGGGAGGGGGGGAGGGTAGGGAGGGGAGGGGAGGGGAGGGGAGGGGGGGAGGGGAGGGGAGGGGATAGAAGAGAGGGTCACTGAGGCATCTTCTTTTAATTCAGAGAACTGAAGGAAGGCCAAAAAGAAGCATGGATAAACAGGACAGTTTTGAAAGCTACAGGTTTGAATTAGTTTTGTACTTAAAAAAGAGAAGCAAGTTGTACACAGTAGAGATCTGCGACTGCCTTTACAACCTTCCTTGTTTTTTTCTGCCATGCATATGGAAATGCCCATTTTATTTGATGTTTGTCAAGTTTGAAGTAAAAATAAATTTTCAAAAATTAAAAGTAAACTTAACATAACTTTTAAAAGACTATGAATAATAGAAATTCTTAGTTTCATATGTGAAGATCTCTTTCTGATCTATTTTAAAATAAAATTTTTATATCAACAATCATTTATTTTCTCACTCTCCCACTGAGGAAAATAAAAAAACAAACAAACCTTGGTAAAAATATGTATAATAAAGTAAAACAGATTCCCACATTACCTATGTCCAAAAAATATTTGTTATATATGTCATTTGTAGTCCATCACCTTTCTCTTAGGAGACGGTGATTTCTTCAACATGGGGCCTCTGAAATCATGGCTGGTCATTGCATTGATCAGAGTTCTTAAATCTTCCAAAATTGCTCACTTTTAGAATGATCAAATGGTACAAATTGTTCTTCTGGTTTTCCTCACTTCACTCTGTATCAGTTCGTACAAGTCTCTGAATTAGTTCTCAGAAATGGTTTTTACTGCCCAGTAATATTATTCCATTCCATTCACTTACCATAGACCTTCGGGTAGAACTGCTGGGTCACTACACTGCTTAATAACTTTGGGGGCATCATTTCAAATCGCTTTTCAGAATGGCTGGACCAATTCAAAGCTCCACCAATAGAGCACCAATACAGCTGTTTTCCTACCCCCTCCAATGTTTGTCATTTTCCATTTTTTTTATCAGTTTTGTCGATCTTAGGGGTATGAGGTGGAACCTCAGAGTTGCTTTAATTTGCATCTACATTCTATTTTCCAGGTCAATTGTTTTATATCAGATAAATGTAGTTATCTATTTATTTTATTTTATTTTTTCAGTCTTCCTACTATTTCTTGCTGTCTCATGGAACCATTGATTTCTGTTAGGTCTTTTCTAGTTTTCCATTATTTGGATAATGTTGACCACTTTCTATTCTAAGCTACATATGCTCTTTCAAAATTCTTTCCCCCAAATCTTTTATCTCATTGTTTATCTCACTGCTTCATTTCTTTTAAATATTCATGTCATCCTTGTGAAAAATCTGCTTTATCCTTTGGGTTTCTGCTACTCCCTCTTTTTTGTCACCAGTCGGTGTTTCCTTCAGGTTTAGTTTATGAATTGTGGCTTTGTGCCAGAGTCATATTCCCTACTTGGTGGGGTAGTTGAGTTTGCTTAGTTTTGTCCTGTGTATTTGGGTTCCTGTGATGACCTCCATCTTTCACAGTGAAGTCTCCCCCTGGATCTTTGAGGTTCGGAGTACTGGATCATTAGGACCTTCTCCGGTGTTTCAGAGAAGAATTTTGAGCTGGTTTTTGTCACTCTCCAGCATTCCCAAGGTCCCAATCCCAGGATTTTCTGACTGCCTTGGAACTTTCTGAGATAACGAAGAAGTCCTCTGAGTTTCTAGTTATGCTGGGAAACTACCTGGTGCTGGAAGGTTGGGGGTTGAGTGCCCTTTCTTATTGTCCTTGGGCTTCTGGTTGAATTCCTGTGTAATTCTGGGGTAGATGTAGTTTTTCATTGGATTTCCTCATCATTATTCAGGCTGGTGTGAACTTCTGGTTTTGATGTAGTCGATAATTGGGAGCTAGGTAATCTGTCTCCTGTTCAGGCAACCATCTTGGCTGGAAGTGTACCATAGTTGGTGTTTAATACATCATTTTAATTAAACTGAGTTTTTAAAGATAAAAACCATGTTTTCTACATTGAGAGCATTGTATTTGCCTGTGTATGTGCTATCTTATTACTAGACTATAAGCTTCAAGAGATAGAGACTGTCTTATTCAAATTTTGCATCTCCCTTAGCAACTCTAGCTTTACACATAGTAGATACTTAATAATTCTAATGTATTTTGTTGTAACTGAGTGGAAATATAAGTTTAGGAGAAAGATGTCTATCTATTATCTATCTGTCTCAGTTTATCTCTATCGCCTATATCTCTCCACCTTTATATTTCTATCATCTCTCTCTCATCTATCTATCTATCTATCTATCTATCACTATCTAAGGATCCCCAGTCCCTCCAATATATGAGTTAGATTCCTAAGTTACAGATTATTTCAGGAGAAACCTGAGCAACAGTGTTGAAATAGCTGGCATAATTCCCCCAGTCTCTGCCAAGGGTCTGCCTTTATAATGGCGCCTTGCTGCATTGACAATCCTGCCTGGAACCTCCTTTGCACTGACTTTGTAATCTGACATTAGTTATGGGAACTATTTTAAAGATCAAAAACACCATTGGAAGCCCTGCTTCTTCCTTCCTTGATTTACTTCCTAGAGGTAAATCTAGCTTAGGAGAGAAGTGCATACCTCAGGTACTAATAGCAGCAGCTGCCTCCTAGCCCTGCATCTCAGGTACTTCAGATTTGTTTAAACTGCTCAAAAACCTTCAATGATTCCTAGCTGCCCATGGATCAAAGTCCAAATTTCATTCTATTACCAATTTATAACATGAAGCATTCAAGGGTCCAAATTCATCTCCCACTACTCCACTATACAAACTCTCTACTCTAATCAAATGGCCCTACTTATGGTTCTCTGAACATACTGTGAACATTCCTGCCTCCACACGTTCATTCACACCTTTTCTCAGCCTGAAATAGCTTTCTCCTTCTCTGCTTGATGAAATCCTGCTCTCCCTTTGTGATCCAGACAACATCTCCAGAGTATGGAATAGTGGCAATAGGAATAGATCCATAGAGGCAGCTTGGTGGCACCATGGATAGAGTGCTGGACTTAGTCTTAGAAAGTCTTAGAAAAGTTTTAGAAAAATGTGAGTTCAGATACTGCCTCAGATACTTGTTGGCTGTGTAACCCTGGACAAGTCATTTAACTTTCCTCAGCCTCAGTTTCTTTATCTGTAAAGAGCTGATGTGAGGATCAAACAAGATGATATATGTAAAAAAAATTGAAAACCTTAAAGCAGGATATAAATGCTAAGTATCATTATTATTATTTGAAATCAGAGGACATGGGGTCAAATCTTGTCTCTACTGCTCCCTACTTATAGGTCCTATCATTTGTAAATTGAAGGAGTTGGATTCTTAAAGTCTCTTGTAGCTCCAAATTCTATGATTCTAGATCTTTCCCAGTTTCTACAATCCACAGAGAATTCTCCATTCTTTAAGTACCTATAGTATCTGTCTTTATACCCTTTCAGAAGTTAACTTACAATAACTTGTATTCATTACACACACACATATGATATATATCATATAGAGATGCATATGGGGTGTGTGTGTGTGTGTGTGTGTGTGTGTGTGTGTGTGTGTGTGTGTGTTGTGTGTATGCCTTGTTTAATCTAGAAAGCAAGGTCCTTGAAGACAAGGACTATATCTTAAGCTTCGAAGTAGCTCTAATGCACAACATGACAGTCAGTACACAGTAGGAGCTTGGTAAATCTTTGTTGATAATAATAAAAAATTAACTTGGCATGAAGGGAGAGCAAAAAGCTTACTAGAAATCCAGTGGGACTGGTGTTACTGGGGAATAGGGTAGAGTCATAAGAGACTGGATGGATACAATACTGGACCTGAAGTAAGGAACACCTGAGCTCAAACTCAGCCTCTGACACTTCCTCACTATGTGACCCTGAACAAATGACTTAACTTCTATCTGCTTCAGCTTCTTCATCTGTAAAATGGAGACAGTAATAGGATTGTTATGAAGATCAAATGAAGTAATATTGGTTTTAATTTTTTTTTTAAAGCACTCAGCATAGTGCCTGGCACTTAATAGGTGCTATACTAATGCTTATTCTCTTTCCCATTTAAAGATGAAAGTGACTTCAGAAACTACTTAACCTAGGTGTCGTATTTTATAGATGACAAAGCTGAAGTCTAAGAAATCAAAAAGGCTAGTCCAAGGGTGAGGAGCCTGCAGCCTCAAGGCCACATGTGGCCTTCTAGGTCCTCAAGTGCAGCTCTTTGACTGAATCCAGACTTCACAGAACAAAGCTCCCTAATAAAAGGATGTGTTCTGTCAAACTTGGACTCAGTCAAAAGGCTGCACCCGAGAACCTAGAAGACCACATGTGGCCTTGAGGCCACAAGTTCGCCACCCCTGGGCTAGTTCAAGGTTGCACAAGTCATGAGTGGCACTGATATCTTCAAGTGTTAAGTAAATACTCATTCTTCCTGCCCTCTCTGCAGTTCTTGACACTGTAACCAGCCCTTCACCCTGGATATTCCCCTTCTCCTGTGTTTTTTGTGGCATTGCATTCTCCAGCTTCTCTGATCTGTTTGTCCACTCCTTCATTTCCTATCTGGTGGTTGTTCCTGGAGGTCTAGCTAGCTCATCCTCCATTTCCTACCTTGTGGTTGTTCCTGGAGGTCTTGTCTTGGGCCATCTCCTATCCTCTTACTACATTTTCTTTTTTGATGGCCATATCAACCTCCATGGGTTCAATTGTCATCTGTGTGAAGATGACTCAAAAATCTATGTATCTATCCCTAATCTCTCTCTCTCTCTCTCTCTCTCTCTCTCTCTCTCTCTCTCTCTCTCTCTCTCTCTCTCTCTCTCTCTCTCTCTCTCTTCTCTCCCCTTCTGTGTCTCCTGACTACATCAACAGAATTTTGGTGGACGTCTCTATCTATATATCCCATAGACATAACAAATTCAGTATGTCTGAACTAGAAGTTATTGCCTTCCCTGCTATATTTGATCCTCTTTAGAATGTTCTGTTTTTGTCAAGAATAGCACCATTATTCCAGATACTTTTATTCATCCTCCACATAGCTAACAAAGTGATTTTCCCAAATCACAGGTCCAATCCTGTCACTACCCCATTGAACAAATGCTAGTGACACCCTATTACATCTAAGATCATCAATCTCTTTGGACAACCTCCCTTTTCCTCCTCATAAGACACAATTTTTTTTGAGCCTTAAGAATTTCATTCTTCTAAGTTTCGCATTGCTGTATAGCTATCTAGGCTATGGAATCCTATCTATATTTTTTCTCTAAATCCTTTGAAATCTTTTTCCTCAAGATCTAGATCTAGAGGGTGGATCAGACTATGTCTAGCTTTACTCTTTTCTATCACTGATTCAAAGATGGGGTGGTACCCATCATTTCCAACCCAACAGCTAGCTCCTATTTGTTGATGAGAATCACTTACAGAAGAGCATTTTTCTCATCTCTCAAAGGATAAATTATTCAGTCAAATTAAGAAATTATTAGCTGCTTTGTTTTTGGTAGAGAGTGAGCTGAGTAGATGCCAAAGTACTCCATCATTACTATTCCATGCTTCCATGACAGACTTGTGATCTATTTCCCAAACTCCTCATCTATTTCCTCTCATGGTCCAAGTGTTGTGCAGTGCAGTTCAATGACAATATCACATCTGCTTAAGCCTCTGTTGATCTTTATTAAGAGCTCTACAATAGATTTTGTCCCTGGGATTCTTAGATTTCTCCTCATGAACATATCTTCTTATTTTAATGTATAATACCTCTATCCTCCTCCACCATCTTTGGCCATCCTGTTCCTTCTAGAGCCAAATTCCAGTCATGGTTCCCAGTCTATCAGGCATCAGTAGTACCTATGGGGCTAGATTTGCTTCTTTTCCTTGGGATCTCTTCTTCATCTTTTCTTTACCCAAACTTTGAATATTTTTATAGATAACTAAAGTAATTTTAACTTTTTTTTATTCATGGTCCATTTCTTATATTTTGTTTTCTATAAATACCTGGAGGGTGGGGAAGAAAACCAGGGCTTTGTCTAAAGGTATAAAAATTAACAACTGAGATTAGCACCTTATTAGCAAAAATAATTAGCTAAAGTAGGAGGCTATCAGATGGCTACACATAGATAAAACCTAAGTGTGAGTTATTATAGAGACTAACTCCCCCTGTACACTACTGAATTTGGCTTAATTAATTCTTGTGTAATTGTCATATCATGAATTACAATGTTGTTAGAGGATCATTTAGTGCTACTTATCTGAATTGTGTTGTTTGCCTCCAGGGCCAAAATGGCTGTTCCTGGTTATGGCCATTCTCCCTACACTCTGGTTACTCCTTATGGTTATGGGCACTGTCGTGGTGGATATGTAATAACAGTTTGCTTCTTTTTTTTTTTTTCATTTGAAACCCTTTGATTACATTTGCAAGCTTCAGGCCAATTTATTCTTTTTAAAAATTTTAATTATTTTTGTTGTAGTTTTCATCTCACCTTTATCTATGCTTCCATGTTCCCAGCTCTGTCATCTTAACTCCATAAGTACCCTGAGGACCTCTGGATCTCACCACTACACCTTTAGGACTTCTGACCTTTCCATCTTCCCAGATTTTTTTTTTATATGCTATCTCTCTTAATTAGAGGCTGAGCTCTTTGAGAGCAGAAACTGTAGCATTTTCTATCTATATCCCCAGAGCTTGACATAAGTAAGCTCTTAATAGATACTTTTTCATTCCTTCTTTCATTCATATACCCTTTCCATCTCACCTACCTAGTGAGTGACATGTTGTAACAAGAACTTTAAAAAGAAAAACCCAACCAACATATTTACTAAGTGTGAGAGAGTATAGGAGCTCCAGACCCATAGTCCACTCACCTCCCTAAAGAAGGGAATGAGGGACTTTAAAAAAAAATACATTTCTTCAGGGCTAACCCTCTTGGTCTTTATAATTACACAGAGTTCAGTTTTATTTTTATTCACTTGGGGTTTTTCCCATTTCTTTTGTCATTTCATTATATATATTGTTTTCTTGGTTCTGCCTATTCCTGTTTGCATCAGTTCATAGTTATGTATTCAGGCAAACTCATTCCTACCAGTCCCAGTTAGGCATACTATGTCTCTGGCCAGGAGTCTGACAGACTTCTCAGAATTCCAATCCAATCCAATCCAAAAAGCATTTATTAAGCACCTACTAAGCACAAACACTGTGCATGGCCCTGGGGATACAAAGTCAAAATTTAAAACAATCACTGCTCTCAAGGAACTTACAATCTACTGAATTTCTTTTTGAATTGTAGTGGCTGGCTGCATCCAGCCAGTTTAGCATAAAGTAACCATCAGAAACTCACTCAGTAGCAGCTGAGACATTAACTCATCCAGCCGCAATGGATGCCACATTTGGACATGAACTTGGTGGGACCAAGGCTATATAGAAACTGCATTCTCCCCAGAGATGAAGATGGTAGAGAAGAGATTTTTACTCCAAAATGCAGAGGGAGAATGATTGTACCTCTCTTCTTGCTATGTCTTCAAAGTAAATGTTCTTTTATAAAAGCTAAGTGATGGTAATTTGTTAAAAGAAAATGGTGGCCAAGAGTGGGAGGACAATGCATATAATTGGGGCTTGAGCCAGAGAAAGACACTCCAACCCCTGGGGGGAGGGCACTCAATACATTCTATTCCTTCAATTCTCTTTTTCTATCACTATCACTTCCAAATGGCTTTCTCTCTGCCTCCAGTAGAATCCCTCCTTGTAACAAAGAAGTACAATCAAGCAAAACAGATTAATCCACTGTCCACATCATGCCTCATTCCACACCTAGAGTCCACAGCCTCTCTGATGCAATGCAAGGGACTTCACTGTCACTTCTCTGAATTCACAATCACTCAATGGCATTAATCAGAGTTCTGAAGTCTTTTACTGGAATTTTCCTTTCCATTTTCATAGAAATTGGATAAATCATCTGAGGTTTGTTAATGTTGTTCTAAATAAGTTCACCCAAGTCTTCCCAAGTTTCTCTGAATATTTTATGCCCTTAGTTTCTTTTTTTAATTTATTGTTTCTTTATTTTAACATTCTTTTTTTAAAAAATTTTGAGTTGGGGCAGCTAGATGGCATGGTGGATAGAGCACCGGCCCTGAAGTCAGGAGGACCTGAGTTCAAATCTGGCCTCAGACCAAACACCTGACACTTACCAGCTGTGTGACCCTGGGCAAGTCACTTAACCCCAATTGCCTAAAAAAAAAAAATTGAGTTCCAAATTCTCCCCCTCTCTCCCACACCTGTCCCACACACTGAGAAGGCAAGCAATATAATATCAATTATACCCGTGAAATCATGCAAAATTAGCCATATCACAAAAATAGCAAGACAAAGAAAGTTAGAAAATTATACTTCAGTTTGCACTCAGAATTTATCAGTTCTGTCTCTGGAAGTGGACCGCATTTTGTCATCATGAGTCCTTTGGAATTGTCTTTGATCATTGTATTGATCAGAGCAGCTCCTTGACCTGTAGCATTTTCTATCTGTATCCCCAGAGCTTTGTTTGCAGCTGTTTTTACATTGTTGTCTTCTTCTGAGTTTATGTTTCGATCTTCCCTGCCACCACAGTAGCTTTTTATGGTAAAGTTCTGTTGTTGTTATTTGCTTATTTTCCATTCCATTTTTTGACTTTGAGCTTTATGTTAAAGTTGGACTCTACTCAATTGGGGATGGGGAGGCACTGTCTTAAGCTTCAGGCTTTCTCATGCTACCATTTTTAGAGCTAGTTCTGGTGGTATGCAAATCTTTAGTACTTCCAAAGTGGTGTGAGATCTAGTCAGCTGTTGTTTTCCTGGTCTGCACTCTGGTCTTTGCCCAAAAAGGGTCCCTTCTCCTCTCCAGCTGTAAACCCTAGTGCTCCTCTTGGCCCTGGGACTATGGCCAGGCTGCAGGCTCTCCTACAGCCATGAGTGTTAATGCTCCACTCTGACTTGGAACTGTGACCTAGAACTGCCTGTGGGCAATAGAGCTGCCAATCATCTACTGCACCTACTGCCAGCAAAGGGTCCCCTGAAATCTCTTTTTGACCAGTTATCTGACCCACTTACCTCGTCTGGGCTGAGAGCCTCCAAAGCTGCTACTGTCACTGTTGCAGCCACCTCCAAGGCTGGTCACTGGGGCTGCCGCTATTTGTGCTCCAGGCTGGCATCTCCGCTGGTGCCAAAGACCTTTCCTGGTGACCTCATAAGTTGTCTTACACTGGAAAAATGCCTCTCCTTGACCTTTTGTTGGCCCTGCAGCTCCAAAATTTGACTTGAAACGTTATTTTAAAGTTGCTTGGAGGGGAATGTTGGGAACGTTCATCTGGGTCCCAGCCCGTACTCCGCCATCTTGGCTTCCTTTTGTGTCCATAGTTTCTGACGTTGCAATAGTATCCCATTACATTAATAGACCACAATTTGTTCATTTTCCAATTAATGAGAGATTAACGTGGCAATGTTCAGACATTCCTGAGGACATTGGACAAAGCTTCCAGGGTAGAAGCTATTCCAGGGCCCAGAGATTTTTCTTTTCACTGGAATAGCTGAAGAGTTTTGCGGAGTTGTGTGTGTCACAGGCTCATATCCCAGTTCCCCAATCTGGTCCATGGAGTCAGTATTAGTTTTTCATTGTCAATCATTGAGAATTAAAGTTATCCTTTTGATCTAAGCATACCCAATTTGAATAGAACATTGTAGACCAGTAGAAAACATGTGTAGAGCTTCCAGTAACGTATGTGGCAATTTTTTAAAAAAAATATTTTATTTAAGTCCTTTTTTAAACAGCACTATCTCTTCCCAATGACTCCCTCGTCACCTCCAGTAAAATGATCCCTTGAACAAAGATGGGTCTTTAGCCTAGAAAAGATTGGACTTAAACTCAACTTAGCTTTCCCTTTTAGCTCTATTCCCAAAAGAACCAAGAAGTACCTTGGGCAACACTGTGGATCAGAGCTCACATTAAGTGAATGGTGCATTTTGGGAAACCATCTATTCTGTGAACAGAGGGAGGCCATCCCAACTCTCATTACAAAGCATGGGTTGGTCACCTGTCCTGAGTCAGGTCAAACTTTTCAAAACGCTTGGAATGAAAACAATGCAAGTCTTCTTTGTCCTAAGATGAGGAAGAAAAATACCACTCCCAAATGACACCAAGCCAGCACCAAGAAATCCTTCACAAAGAGTAGCCTTTTGTCCTTTCTTGAAAGCCTCAATAGGCACTTCATATTTCTGTCATGTAGCCAGACTCCTCCTTCCATAGCTAACCAGCCCTATTTCTAGACATGAAAACAACTGCCAGGATGCCCCACTGATCATCCATTGGCCTCCTTATGCTGGAAGGGACAAACCAGTTAAATAAATCTGAACAATATGAATAAGCCCTACATACGCGGCTGAGTGCAAATAAGCTTGGCCTCTCAGATTGGGTTTTTCAGACTCTACTCTGGCCTCAACAAGTCAGGGAAAAGAATGGGAATGGCCACTTCAAAACTGACCAACTTCTCTTTGTCTTAAATGCCTCCATTTCTTCTATCTTCTAGCCCTCCTTGAAACCTAGCTCCCTCCTAATGACCGTTTATTAGAAGATCTTATCCAGTACTGTTTGTACTTTCATTCTCAGGACCAACCCCGTGGGAGGCAAGTTGGAATACTTCTAGTTCTCTACTGCCATTTTTGGACCCTCCCTCCACCTTCAGCACTCAGTAACCTCTTCTCTTTTGATATTCACATAATCCGAATTTGTCAGCCAATCCAGATGCAGATGTTTGTTATCTATCTACTCTATCACATTCTCCTTCCTTCCTCTGTAAGTACAGTGCCTGGCTCACTGTCTTTCTCTTCCCTTCCTCTCCTGCACTCAAACTGGGGGACTTCAACACATATTGACACATCCTCAAATACCCTAACACCCCAGGTCTTCAATCTACTTTGTTCCCATTATCTACTTCTCCATTCAAGCTACATGCAGGAGATGATGACATCTTTGACCTTGCCATCACCCATCACTGTGCTAATGAAATCTGTAATTTCTTTATCTGATTATGGCTTTTTATCATTCCACTTTTCCCACTGCCTTACAATCTCTACCCCTGCTCTTCATCCTCAGTGTGACCTCTAATCTCTCCACCCATCAGCTCTTTCTCTGCATGGGCCATACTCTCCTCTCTTTCTTGTTTCAACCCTTTGGTGAACAAACTTCTATACTCCATTTCCTTGTCCCCTTGTTCTATTGCTGATCATACTTTGTCAAAACTCCAACCCGGGATTATTCCCACTGTAGGCCTCCTATCCACTTCTCCCTCACTTTGTGGCTCTATTTTTTTCTTTCCTGGCCTATTATGATGTAAATTCAAATCTGGCCTCAGACACTTACTAGCTGTTGACCCTGGGCAAGTCATTTAACACTATTTGCCTCAGTTTCCTCATCTATAAAATGAGCTGGAGAAGGAAATTGCAAACCACTCCAATATCTTTGCCAAGAAAACACCAAATGGGGTCATGAAGAGTTAGACATAATTGAAATAAGTGACTAAAAGAAATTAGGATGTAAGCTCCTTAAGGGTAGGGATTGTCTTCCTTTCTTCTCTACTCTTCTCTTATCTCTTTTATCTCTTTCTCTTATCTTTTCTTTAGGATCCCTAGCACTTACTTTGTCTGGCTCATTGTTGTAATTGCTGCAGTTCAGGTTTAGGTCTGGTCCAACTCTTTGTGATCCCATGCACCATAACATGTCAATGCTGTCCATGGGGTTTTCCTGGCAAAGATACTGGAGTGCTTCGCCCCTTCCTTCTCCAGTGAATTAAAGCAAACAGAGGGTAAGTGACCTGCCCATGGTCATCCAGCTAGTAAGTGTCTGAGGTCAAATTTGAGCCCAGGTCTTCCTGACTTCAGGGCCAGTGCTCTATCCACTGAGCCACCTACCTGGCTTATAGCGAATAAGTAATAAATGTTTTATGAATGTGTCTATTATCTATCTAGCTACTTATCTATCATCTTATCCACTTGATGCTGAATGGAACTAGAGGAAATCAGAAAACCAAGCTGAATGGACCCACTACAAATCTGTTATGTCATCTCAACTGAGCCCTCACTATAGCGAGACAAATATTCTATTCCTCCTTAAATCAGTTTGCTAACCTACTCCCCACAGAAGCTGCTCCAAACCTTCTTGTCTCTCTTCAAATCTCCCATAGCTCCTCTCTTCCCACCCTCTTAGCTGAGTCACCACCAAAAAATTGAGGTGACTACCAAGATCTTCTCCTCTTGTTTCTTCATCATCTCACATCATTCAGACACCCTCCTCTGCTATATTCTCCTTCAGTCCCATCTCAGAAGAAGAGAGGCCAAGGCAAAATCCTCAATGTGCACCCTTGATCCCATCTCTACATTCCCCACTCATCTTCTCCAGTAGATTGCCCTCTTTATCCTTCTCTGTCTCTCTCTCTGTCTGTCTCTGTTTCTCTCTGTCTCTCTGATTCTCTCTCTTTCTGTTTCTCTTTCTCCATCTCTCTCTCTTCCTTCTATTATCTGTCTGCTTTCCTGATATCTACAGATATGCTCATATCTCTCCCATCTTTTAAAGAAATAAAACCCTGGATCCCCAGTAGATATATCCCTACACCCAATGCCTCTACTTCCTCTTTTCTCACTCTCTTCTAAACTCTTTTTCAGTCTTGCTTCCAACCTCATCATTCAACTAAAACTGCCCTTTCCACATTACCAGTAATCTTTTAATTGCCATATGTCATGGCTTTTTACAATTCTTATCCTTCTTGACCTCAGAATCAAAGTGATTACCACTGTCAATTGCCCTTTTCTCCTAGATGTTCTCTTCTCTTCAGCATTCTGTGGTACTGTTCTCATCTGGTTCTCCTCTTAGCTGATTCTTCTCAGTTCCCTCTGCTGGTTATCATGTCCAGATCATACCCACTAACTCTAAGGGGTCTCCCAAGTTTCTGTCCTGGGTCCTCTTTTTTTTTTTCATTTTATACAAGGGATTCCTAACCTTTTTTTGTGTTGTGGACCCTTTTGGCAGACGGTCAGGTAAAGCCTGTGAACCCTTGCTCAGAGTAATGTTTTTAAATGCATAAAAAAATTACCTAAACTCCAGAGCAGTAGCTGTGGGGAAAATCCCAGGGAAAAGGACTTACCTGGAATCACTCAACCAGATCCACAGCCTATCATTTTCATCTTAATTTGGCATGTTTGTAGCTTGTGAAAACACTCACCCTGCTATTTCCTTAGCTGCCCCTGAAAATTCATTTAAAAACCAAAGAGCTGATGATACATTAGCAAATCTAATAGGGTGAGGCTGGGAGACCTCCCAGAGGTGTGAAGGCTGGGGTGGTGGTGGTGGTGGTGATGAGAAATGAGTCAGGCTTGGCAAACACATCAGGCAAAAAGAAGGGTTCAACTCTCAATTTTTCCACTTGTGGCTTACCTGCTTTAGGCACTATCCTCAGTCAATGCCTTTATCCATTCCCTAAGAAACTGTATCCTCCACTTTCTGAGCAGTACCTCACCTCACCTCCTCTTCCTTCCTCCATCAAACAATCAGCAAGTATTTGTTAAATGCCTACTATGTGTCAGAGAGGCAGCATGGCCTGGGGGCAAGTCTAGCTTCTGCCATACACTGGCTTTGTGACCCTGGGCAAGTCATTTAACCTTTAGACTTCTAGGGTGCTCTTGAGGATTGTAAATTGCAGAGGCTAGGTGGTTCTGCATTGGGAAAAGGAGTTTTCTCCTCTGGGAGAGCTTTTTATACCAATAAAATCACAGTCTCTAGCCCTAGGCCTAGGCTGAGCCCTAAATTAGGCCCTGGAGGTGCAATGGCAAAAGTGTCACAGCCCAGCTGTCATTCTGTTGGGAGACAACTTGGTGCACACATGTACGGACAGAGGCCTGCACACATACACAGGCACACACGTACACACAGAGGCACGCACACACACATGCGTACGCACATATATTTTTTAAATATACACTCAAGTAAATAAGTATTTATTGAGCAACTACTATGTTATAAGCACAGTGTTAATCATATGCATGTGTGATGCATACGTGACGATATTATGTGATGGGATATATAATATAATGTAATACAATGTAATAAATAATGTAATATGATATAATATGATGATATAGTACAAATATAAT